CAACTGAGTGGCGCACTACTGCTACTAGTGGTGAGAAAGTGTATTACACCTTATTCAAAATCATTGCGGTTTACCATTTAAAAGAGGTAGAACACGAGCTAAAAGCTAAATGCTAACTAAAAAGTAAACATTTCAAAAAGCTGGCTAAAAGTTCCTAAAGAATAACTAAAAGTTTAAATTAGCAAATCCTAGCTGTGTCAAATCAGTATTCACACCACTCAGGTTTTGAGATATTTATAAACTTTGTGAACTCTATAGTTAATCCATCATCTGAGGTTACCTTGTAGAGCCCAGATTGGAAACAAATGGAAATGGTGGAAACGTGGATCTAAGAGCACAGTCTGGTTTAAATCATTGTATTGCACGCTGTTATTATTTTTGAAAACTTGCTACGTTGCCGTTATTCTGGGAGGACGAACACACACACACACACACACACACACACACACACACACACACACACACACACACACACGTGTTTCCTGTTCCTGTTCTGCTCGAGTTGTGAGAGTTGACTGACAGATTTCGAGGGAAGTAACTGCTCCTTCGTCTCCGCTGCAGGAAGGTCTCAGTGCAGCGTGGGTGCCAAGGGATCCACTGCCTGAGTGTGGTGAAAGCAGCGGCCGAGACCCCAAGAACATGAACCACACCAAGGGTGGCTTGGTGATCTTCACTGCCAACTCGCACCCCTCAAGCCGCGAGCTGGGCAAGAGGATCTCTGAGTGAGTACACGAGCCATTTGTATCCACTGAGCTTAGCATGCTAACGACGACAGCATAAYTTATTTTAGGGTAAACAGTCGGTAGGAGTCCTTAAGGAGCACTTTTTTCACAGACAGTAGAAGACTACTTTAAARCATCCAATAACTTTATTATTATTTCCATGTGAAATGTTTGGCTTTTCCTCAGAGCAAACTTCATCAGCGTCTGTGATGAGTACAGCATGTGAACCAGATTTAACACCTAAACATCACTCAGTCTCATGGCATTCTGAACAAAATGATATAGTTGAGAACAAAATGAATGGCWTGGCATTAGTTGTAGTAATAAATATTAAAGTGTCTTTAAAACTGTCTGAGTTGTTTTGTTTATATGGAAGAGTTGACTCCAACAATAATATATAAAGTTATAAGCAAAAATTGTATTTAATGAGAAGAACTCATTGACTTGGCTACTATCACATCAGTGAGTTTAGCACAATAACTTRGSGGTGTAAGAAAATATTGATACACTGAATTATTGCGCTATTTCACTTCCTGATATTGTTTCAGTTCTCAAAAGCACTGCATAGGTTTTAAGTTRAGGCTTAATAAATGGATGTTATAAGAAGAAATGTGAAATATTAACGCAGTTCTCACTAGCTACGTTTACATGGACATAAGTAATCGGATTAAACGGCCATTCGGAATAAAAAATGTGTCATGTAAACACCTCGTTTGGATTATTCTGACCCGATTCAGCTCGATCCACATGAATTATTTTTTTATATACTTTTTTTTTGATAGGTTTTTTTATACAGAACAGCAACGAGAAAGAAGAAAGAATAATACTAACAACAGTAAAAAAATAAAAAGATAAAAATAATAATACATTAAAAAATAGTCACAACAAGAACATTAAACAGCACTCAGAAGAGTGAGGTCACCCAGGGAGGGAGACAGCTACACTTCACAAAAAGATAAAACTGAAACTGACAAATTCTGACAGTCGGGTTACTGTAGCTGTAAAGTCCCATGAAGAGTCAAACAGGTGGGAGATTTACCAAGTCATGCAAACCTGCTCCACACCTAACCCCGGATTTCATTCTTAATAATGATTTGTGATACTCTCAGCTTACTATCCAGTTCCTATATGTAAACCATTTCAACAAGTGCTTTTTGATTTTGTTTTCGTGGCATYTTAGGGAARAAGTTAGCATTTCCATTTCACATACCGTATTTCTTCTACCATGGCTAACCAGTCCCTCAATGTCGGTGGGCTCCCACTAAGCCACTTTCTTGTTATTGATTTCTTACTTAGTATTTTCAAAAGGTACTTATCCTGAGTGTTGAGTTCACTTGGTAAATCACCCAGATACAGTAAATAGTTTTAAAGTTATGCTTTATTTCAAATCCAAGAATTTTTCTTATCTCTTTGGTAACCTTTGACCAATAGGAATAAATCAGTGGGCAGCCCCTGAAAATGTAGAAGTGGTCAGCCATCACATTATTACATTGTCTCCAACAGTGCTCTGATTCGGTCCTGCCGGTCTGAGAGAATGTTCTTTTGGGGGTTATAAAAAATCTAACATTATTCTTCCATGAAAACTCCCTCCAATATCCTGAGCTCATGGTAGTGGAGTTAATTTGGCRTATGTTTAGCCACTCATCCTCCGTCAGCGTTATTTTTGCCTCCCTTTCCCATGAATTTTTAATATATATTGTAGATGTATTTTTTATTGGCTTCTAAGCACCCATATATTCTGGACAGCCTCTTCTTATAGGATTTACCTTTATAAGCACCAATAAAGATATTAATGAGGTCTTGATCAGCTTTTTCCAATGTTTTAATGTTCTTATTAAAGTTGTGCCTGAGCTGCAGGTATCTGAAAAAATCTTGTTTGTCAAGGTCAAAATTTTCTCGTAATCGTTGGATCCAAATGAATTTGTAATCGGAATGAGAGAGGTGGTTTATATGGTGGTTTATGCTGATTGATAATCTGAACAGCGTGCATGTAAACACTAATCGGATCATTTTATTCTGATTGTGGAAAACTGACCTGACTGCGCATGTCTGCTGACTTTCATCCAGCAATTTCCAGCAGACAACTTTTCCTCCCATTTTGTCATTCAATAAAGAAGGAAGACACACAGCCTGTGCCGCTTCGCAATTTTTTTTTTAAAAAAAGTCCGCTCGTCACCTGTAGCTGAACCAGAGAGCAGTAATGTCTCCACCATTATTAAAACCTGTCGCAGGTCCGTTCTGTGCTCAGAAACTGTTTGTTTATGTTCATGATGAAAGTAGCACTTTTTTTTTCCAGGGAAATTTAGAAACTGTGCATGTCAGTGCTTCTATTCAGARTAAAAGCCTGGTGCATGTAAACACTCATCATGATCAGATTGTGTCCATGTAAACTATACATTCTGATTATTTAATCTGAATACATTTCAATCAGATCAAAGAATTTTGCTCATGTAAACATAGCTACTGTTKTTCAGTCTTCTGACTGCATAAAACAACTGAATTTAATCAGATTGTTGTGTTCTTTATACTGAGTCTTTTTAAATTAGAATCTTTTGGAGGGAAAAAGGCAATATGTGGCCTTGCTTACAGTATTGAGATATTCAAGTTCTGAGATGGACTAGAGACTTTAGCTGATAACGTTAGTACTATTCTGCTCCAGCTGCACTACATCCTTGTGTTCAGTATTTACTTAGTGTTCAGAAATGGCCTAGGTCTTTTGCGGCTGCTATGGTTAATCAAGGTGTTGAGGCTCCATTGCGGTGGTTTTGTAGTGCACACGTTTATGTCTCACTATAAGTCCTGTCCTGTGTTCATACAGTACCTCAGGTTGGACACAGGGTCTTTCTGTGTGGAGTTTGMGTGTTCTCATGTTTGCRTGGGTTTTCAGGGTACTCCTGTTTCCTCCCACAGTCCAAAAACATGCATGTTGAGACAGCCTTCAGGCCCAGGTCTCCCTGAAAGTGAGGTCACAGGATTTGAGTTTGTGGGAACCATGGAAAGGAGGAATCTGAGGTTTAAGCATTCTCATTAGTTTTAGCTTGGCACAGACCTTCCTGTTGCCCGGGGGCAAAGCAAAACAGTTGATGCCACTTGCCTTTATCAGAGTTAAAGATTTTTGTCTTTTATTTTCTAGATTAAGATTCATGTCTGGTTTCTTCTTTAGGTTAGGTCTCCCTTTAATTTATTCTGCTGATGTCTGCATGTGTGACACTACAGATGCACTTGTTGAGGTAATTTAAGGTCATAGGTCAGTTGATCAGCTGTGCAGAAAATGGTGCGCAGCCAGAAACTATGAAACTATTGACACTGAAAATCAATTTAAGTTGATTTTATTTATTTATTATTTTTATTATTATTTATTTATTGTTGTTCTTCCTCAGGAGGCTTGGAGTCGAGCTCGGCAAAGTGCAGGTGTATCAGGAAACTAATAAAGGTAAGTTGATTATTTTATTATTTTTATTTTATAATTTACTAAATTTAAATTATTGTCCTTTTTGACAAAAATGCGTAAGAAAAACAGAAGCAGTGACGATCAACAAARCACAGCCAGTCGCACCTACACAAACACACACTGAACTCTTTAAATGCTTTGAATACCTAACTTTTAAATAAGTAGGAAGCCTAAAGAGTAATTGCTCTTTGCAGTGTCTRCACAGATATTGTCAGTAAATTAAAACCTAAAGCTTAATCATTAAATTACCACCATCATTGTGTGAAAGTTAGATTTATTTATAAACACATTTAAACATTAGCTTTAAATATAATGAGCTTACACTGAAATAAAAACTAACACTCATACTTGATCACGGTCATTAACAAGCTAACGAGCTAACACCATCAGCCCAGCTACCGGAGAAATTAACGTTACATTTCCTCACTTTGAAACTAAATAAACATAGTGACTTACCCTGCTGCTGATCTCTCTTCAGTGTCATCGATGACTCCATGTTTTGGTTTCAGGTGTCGTGTCATCACCGTGGTGCTCCTGTGCCACGCCAGATTCCTTTTGTAAAGCTCGGATGTTACGTATCTGTTAGTTTTCTGAAGCATGAAGCGCTCTCGTGCTTTTGAAGCCAGTGTTCATTTGTTGAATTTACTTAATTTTCTTTGAAAATCTCTGCCTCGCTCAGTTCAACACACTCTGCACCCGGTTAAATATTTTTTTCTGACTTTATTGACGACGCTCTGCAGGTCAAGTAAACGGCTCTGTGACACGGCGAGTGATGCATAAACGGCCCGATGCAACGAATCGATAATGAAATTTGTTGCCCACACTTTTAATAATCGATTTTTATTGATTTAATCAAGCCCTAAAAGAAATTCCTATCAAACTTGATGAATTTGGAGTATTTTTGTTTTCACTTAAAATCAAATTGTTGTTTAAATTCCTTGCTGCAAGGCTACACAAGAGAAAGAATGTACAGAGAAGTGGTGAATTTGGAGATRATCTGACAAACATTAGAGCTGATCCTGTTTGTCAGGACATCGTATCGACCTGCTGCTCTCTGATTTTTAAAAGCTTTGTTACTTAACAAAAGCTTTATCTCTGATGCAAGTCAGTGAAGCACAATAACGTTCCTCGTGAGGTTAAAGTACACCACAAAAGTATCTGTTACTGGGATGCTTTTAGTGCCTGGAAACATGTTGAATTGTTACATTTCTCATGGCAGATCTCAGATCTCAGTCTGTCTGATTTCTTTGTTCTTCGGACAGTTGGTTGTAGGAAGCCTGGAGTTTAATCCTCTTTCTGTGGGAGGCTTGTTGTTGGAATGCTTTTATCTACAGTTTCACATGGTGAGAGGGGGTGGGGKTGGGTGGACAAGCTCTCAGGCCTTGTTATAACAGGAGTGTGTTCTTGTGCAGCYGATTTGTGTGTACTTCTGCTTATGTGGGTTTTTTTACACATCCTGTGTCTTTCCTCAGAAACCCGCGTACAGATCCAGGAGTCGGTGCGAGGCAAAGATGTCTTCATCATCCAGACAGTGTCCAAGTATGGAAATAAATAAATACACACACAGTCCCCTCCAAAAGTATTGGAACATGAAGTCAAATTCTCCTGTTTTTGTTGTTCAATGAAGACATTTGGGTTTAAGATCCAAAGATGAGCATGAGACGAGTTCTGAATGTCAGCTTTTATTTCCTGGTATTTACATGTAGACGTGTTAAACAACTTGGCATATATCACAGTTTGTGTTACAGCACAGCATTTTTAGGTGAGCAAAAGTAATGGAGCGTATATTCTTAAAGTAAATAACGTTTAATATTTGGCGGCATAACTTTCAAAGACTGCCTCAAGTCTGCAATCCATCAACACCAAACTGTTGTATTCTTCATTTGTGATGCTGTTCAAGTCTTTTACTGCAACTTTTTTCAGTTCTTGTTTGTTTCAGGGGGTTTCTCCCTTCAGTCTCCTCTTCAGGAGGTGAAATGCTCTATTAGTTTAAGGTCAGGTGATTGACTTGGCCAATCTAAAACCTTCCACTTTTCTCCCTGATTAAGTCATTTGTTTTGTTGGTGGTGTGCTTTGGCTCATTTTCCACTTAAGAATTTATTCTACTGCTGCCATCATCAGTTACATCATCAATAAATACTAATGAGCCTGTTCCAGAAGCAGCCATGACATCACCTGCACTGTGCTTCACAGATGAGCTTGTGTGCTTCAGATCATCAGCAGTTCCTTTCTTTCTCCATGCCTTTCCATCATTTTGGTAGAGATTAATCTTGGTCTCATCAGTCAATAAGAATGGGCCTCATGCAAGAACATGTTCATATTCTTCTCCTAAATTTCTCTTACTTTTGTTCGTACGAAGGGTTCGTAC